TCATAAGTAGTTGCATACTTAGTTTTTTGGGGTTTTTAAAATATTTATTTATTTACTTATATTATTTATTTGGCTGCACCAGGTCTTAGTTGCAGCACGTGGCATCTTTAGTTGCAGCATGCAGGATCTAGAACCCTGACCAGGGATAGAACTGGGGCCCCCTGCATTGGGAGCACAGAGTCTTAACCACTGGACCACCAGGGAAGTCTCTATACTTAGTTTTTTAAGAAACTCTTTTCCAGGGTGGCTATATCATTTTATATTCCCACCAATAATAAATGCATAAGAGATCTAGTTTTTTCACACCTTTTCCACCATTTGGAATTGTCACTATTTTTTCTTTTCACTGTTCTAATAGGTCAATGGTCTTAATTTCCAGTTCTCTAATAATTAGTGATATTAAGCATCTTTTCATGTGCTTATTTACCATCTGTGTTATCTGTTTGGTGAAATGTCTCTTCATGTCCTTTGCCCATTTTCTAAGTGGACTGCTTTTTTCACTGTTGAATTTTGAGCATTCTTTATATATTCCAGATAAGAATCCTTTGTCAGATGTGATTTGCAAATATTTTCTTCCAGTCAGTAGCTTGTCTTTTCAACTTTACCAGATCTTTCACCAACTAAAAGTTGTTAATTTTGGTTTATCAATTTTTTATTTATCAACTTTTTTTCTTTTGTGGATGATGCTTTTGCTGTCGTGTCTTTACCAAGCCTTAGGTTCCCAAGATTTTTCTCCTGTGTTTTCTTGTAAAAGTTTTATAATTTAACATCTTATATTTAAATCTATGATGCATTTGAGTTAATTTTTGGGTAAGGTTTGAGGCTTTTCTTTTCCTTTTTTTTTTTTTTTTGTCTATGGATATCCAAATCTTCCAGCACCTTTACTGAAACTACCCTTGTTTCATTGAATTGCCTTTTTACCTCTGTTGAAAATCACTTTGCCATACTAGTGTGGGCTTATTTCTCTATTTTGTTTAACTGATCATCGTGTCTTTCTGTCTGAGCCACAATCTTGATTACTGAAATACTAACACACTGTCATGATTACTGATGCTCTATAATAAATCATACAATCAGGTAGAATGATTCCTTCTACTTTCTTCTTGTTTCTTAAGTTTTTTTTTCTGGCAATTCTGGTTTCTTGCTTTTCCATAAGAATTTTAGAATAAGCTTGTCTATATCTATTTAAAAATCTTCCTGGTATTTGATAAGAATTATGTTAAATTTATACATCAATTTGGGGAGATTTGATATCTTCAGTAAGTTGAGTCTTCTAATCCATGAACACAGTATGTCTCTCCACTAACTTAGATCATCTTTAATTTTTTCATTAGCATTTTTCATTTTCAGCCTACAAACCCCATATATGGTTTGTTAGATTTACAGTTAAGTATTTAATTTTTTGGTGCTATTGTAATTTTAATTTCACTGTCCATGTGTTCATTGCCGGTATATAGAATTGATTTTTGTATGTTTATCCTATATTTTGAGACCTTCCTGAACTCACTTATTAGTTTTAGGAAAAAAAAATTGTGATAGATTTCGATGGATTTTCTACATAAACAATTATGTTACCTGTAAATAGGGACAAAGAATACACTTCATATGATTTCAGTTCTTTTACATTTTTTGAGGATTGTTTTATGGTACAGGATATGGTCTAACTTGTATATGTTCCAAGGGTGCTTGAAAAGACTGTATATTCTGCTTTTGTTAGGTAGAATATTCAATAAATGTCCATTATATCCTGCTGGTTGATGGCATTGTTGAGTTCTTGTATATACTTCATTATTTTCTGTCTAGTTGTCCTAACAATTGTTGAGAGAGAAATGAAGTCTCCAATGATAGTTGTGGCTTTCTTTCTTTCTTTTTTCAGTTCTATCAGTTTCTGCTTCATATAGTTTATAGCTCTGTTGTTTGGTGACTATACATTTAGCATTGCTATGTTTTCCTGATTGATGGACCCTTTTATTATTACTTTTAAAAATATAAATTAAATTAATTAATTAATTTATTTGGATGTGCTGGGTCCTAGTTGCAGCCAGCAAGCTCGTTAGTTGAAGCATGCATGTGGGATCTAGTTTCCTGACCAGGGATCAAACCCAGGTGCCCTGCATTGGGAGCATGGAGTCTTAACCACTGTACCACCAGGGAAGTCCCAGACCCTTTTATTATTGTCTAATGATTCTTCCTGTCTCTGGTATTATTATTATTATTTTTTTGCTTAGAAGTCTACTTTATCTGATATTAATATAGCTATTCCTGCTTTCTTTTAATAAATGTTTTCATGGTATGAATTTTCCAGCCTTTTGCTAACATGTTTTTATATTTGAAGTGTGTTTCTTATAGGCAGCAGATAGTTGGGTCATGTTTTTTAATCCATGCTGCCAATCTCTGTCTTTTAATTACAGTATTTAGATCACTTACATTTAATGTAACTATTGATAGGTTAGGGCTTAATCCTGACATTTTACATATTTTTTGTTTTTTGTCCTCTTTGTTTCCTTTTCTATACCTTCCTGTAGTTTCTTTTAACTTTTGTTACAATTCCATTTTGATTTACCCATAGTGTTTTTGAGTATATTTCTTTGTATAAATTTTTTAGTTTTTGTTCTAGTTATTACATTATATGTACGTAATTTATCACAGACTACTTCTGTTGACATACTACCAGTTTGAGTGAAGTATAGAAAAGTTCCTTTGCTGTCTACTATTTATTATATGATTGTCCCCGTGCCTTTCTCCACACCATTGTCTCCCTAAGAAATGTCCTTCAATAACTCTCTGCTTATTCACCATTTTCCTTCTCTTGAAAGTCCAAACCTTGTTATACCTCTTAGGTCTCATTTTTAGCCTCATCATCTATTCTAAAATCCCATATTTACTACTTTCTGTAGTACTCACTTTTAAATTAATATATTGTCTGATTTTAAAATGCTTTCAGACTTAGTTGACAGAAACTCTGTTATAGTAGCTTATACAAAAGAAGTTAAGAGATAGATGCTGACACTGCAGCTGGATGACTTTAGGACCAATGTGTCTTCAATTCACTTGACCTTTTCCTTATATTGGCTGGTCTACTTATAAGCAGATGATTGCTGTCTGGGAACCACATCTGAATTTTAGATAGGAAGAAAGGGCATAGGATGAAGGGATAGGCTAACCAGGTCCATCTGTTTTTAGTTAGAAAACAGAAGCTCTCCCAAAAGTCACACCCAGCAGACTTATTTTGTCTCATTGGACAGAATTCATATCTACTCCTGGCTGGAAAGTACAAGTGAGAAAGGGGTCGTGAATAGGAATTCAATTAACAAAACAATGATGTCTGACGTACATATGCATAAGTATCTGTGTAATCCATTTGGGTAAATCTTATGTCTCCCTAATTAGTTTGTAAGGTATTTAAGATCAGAGATCTAATCAGAGTTTGTCATTTTGTACTTCATACCAGACGACTGTAAGGGTCCTCCTAATTTCATATATCTCTGCTACAAACAACAAATAGGGTTCTTAAATGGGGGTTTAAAACCAAACATAATTATTTCAGAATTTTTCAGTGAGCTCAGTTTCTTCTGAAATTAATAGCTTCTTCAGTCAGGGAAGGAGAACTACTACGAGATATAGGACAAGAGTTTCTTTTTTCTTTTTTTTGTTTGTTTTGTTTTTTTGTGTGTGTGGTACGCAGGCCTCTCACTGTTGTGGCCTCTGCCATTGTGGAGCACAGGCTCTGGACGCGCAGGCCCAGCGGCCATGGCTCATGGGCCCAGCTGCTCCGCGGCATGTGGGATCCTCCCAGACCGGGGCACGAACCCGTGTCCCCTGCATCGGCAGGCGGACTCTCAACCACTGCGCCACCAGGGAAGCCCTCTTTTTCTTTATTAATAGCAAGTAGAAATTCTTGTGGGAAGAACTGGAGAAGTGAAGGTCCAAGAGGTATACTGGAAGATTAGAGAGACAGTAACCAGCAAGTCAATCTGAGAAATCAAGCAAGTCCAGCTGCCAAAATAGACTTGTATGTGGAAGGCTTATGGGGAGATCTATGGGAAGTTGTGCCTCTATTCACCTACCACCTCTGTGGATCATCTCTCAAGCATCTGGTGTTGAGCCTGAGACCAGTGTTGGTCAATGGGGTCAGGAGCTGGGAAGAAGATCCAGGTGTGGACTGAAGGAAAGTGAGGACAAGCTAGACCCTTCTGGTCCTCTATATCTGTCTCTTCCTGCATCTAACCACAATGAACTTCAGAGTAATGGCTGCTGCTTCACTTCCACCTTCCAAATCTATCTCAAATTCTTCTTTTGGCCAACTCTAATTTGGAACCCTCCAGGGAAGGAGATTTGGGGAAATGTAAACTAGCTTAATCAAATCACCACGACTAAGTTAATTTCATAAATGGAGGTTGAATCTTCAATCTCTAGTGCATTAAAATAATTGGAACTTCCCTGATGGCACAGTGGTTAAGAATCTGCCTGCCAATGCAGGGGACACGGGTTTGAGCACTGGTCCAGGAAGATACCACATGCCACAGAGCAACAAAGCCCGTGTGCCACACCTACTGAAGCCTGCGTGCCTAGAGCCCGTGCTCTACAACAAGAGAGGCCACCACAGCGAGAAGCCCGCGCACTGCAACGAAGCGTAGCCCCTGCTCGCCACAACTGGAGAAAGCCTGCATGCAGCAATGAAGACCCAACGCAGCCAAAAATAAATAAATTAATTAATTAATTTTAAAAAATTGTGTTGCCTGGAGGGCTGGGACTGTATCTAAATTCATTTATTCTGTCCCTTTAGTCCTAGCCAATAATTTGATTCTTAAATTATATGTTGTTCCATTGGTCTCGCTGTGCAAGATAGTTTTCTTCTGCCCTCGTACCTATCTCCTCAAGGGGAAAAGGAGTCCCTTCTTTGGAATTAGGCTATAACAGGCTGCCCAGGCAGTCTTGTCTCTTAACTTCTACTAGTCTTTTTTTTTTTTTTTTCTCTTTGTTCTTAAATTTATGTTGGCATTCCTCTTCTATTTCTCCATTCTGGGTATAATTCTTGAACTTTCTCTAGTATATCCAGCTCCTCTCCTGCCTTAACATGTTTATGAACCATTACTTCTAGCTAGTAATTTATCTTTGGGGAATGTAGTTCGCCCATTTTTATTTTAACTAACTAATATATATTCAACTGCAGATATTTATTGAACGTCTAAGATATCATCCTAGCCTCCATAGGAGCTCAAAGTACAAAAATATCTATAAAACAAGAGAGGAAGTAAAAAATACCACCATAGAGCAACAAATAAACAGCTCTCAGAGTTCAGAGAAGAGAATTGGGTTCTGCTTCCCTATGGGCTCTTTATTTACCTTTTCCAATCAAGAAGCTTTGTATAAGATTTCCAAACCTTCATAACATTGCCCCAGTGTTTATATTACAGATCTGTCTGACTTACGATGGGGCAACATCCCGATAAACCCATTGTAAGTTGAAAATATCCTGTCAGAGATGCATTTAATACACATAACCTACTGAATATTGTAGCTTAGCCTAGTCTACCTCAAGCATGCTCAGAACACTTACATCAGCCTACAGTTGTGCAAAGTCATCTAACACACAGCCTATTTTATAATAAAATGTTGAAAGTCTCATGTAATCTACTGAATACTGTAATGAAAATGAAAAATAGACTGGTTATATAGTCACAGAATGGTTGTTTACCCTGGTGATCAGAAGCTCGGTACCACTGCCCAGCATCATGAGAAAATCCAAAGCACATATTACTAGCCCAGGAAAAAAAAATCAAAATTCAAAATCTGAAGTACCATTTCTATTGAATTTGGATCACTTTCACACCACCATAAAGTCAAAAATTGTAAGTGGAACCATCATAAGTTGGGGACCATCTGTATAGCTAGGAACAGTAAAATTAGTTGTTTTAGAGCACAGGATTTAAGCAATGTTAAATAAACAGTGTTGGGAAAAGCTATATAAACATATTCGTAAAGGAAGATAATAATTTTAAACTACATAAAGATAGAAGAAACTGGCTGTGAAAATATAAATGCAGAACTTAGAAAGCTAGGCTATAATGTTATTTCTACTAACTCTATTCAGAAATTGTTTTCCTTTGTGCAATGTTTCAAAGACATGGACGTCTGGGATTCAGAATTATTTAGTTTTGCATGAATTTAGTTGAGCTTACTTTTCTCATCATAACATTTGTAGTTTAACAGCATGAGTAAGCAATACACTGGTAGAGGTTTTAGAGCATTTTAACCATATGCAACATCATCACTGTTGAATGCCAGAATACTTTTTTTGAGGACTATGCAGATATATAAAATTTCATCTTCTAAATGCAGTTATACATTTCCTCTTTGTATAAAAATTAAATACCATAAACTACTTAGTCTATAGTTATAATTTCACATTAGTATATATGATCGAGAAAGGAAGTATGACCATGCTCATTATAAAGTTCAAGTGTGTATTTATACATACCTAAGGTACAGTTTTCCAAACAGCTGCAAGGCTGAGGAAATGGTCAAAAATGTTGCACAGGAGCGATGCTGAGAGGCTGTCATGTGTTTTCTTCACTGACATTTTAGGTAAAGGGAAAATTAAGACGTAGAATTAGTTGTGAAGGGGGCAAACTCAGCTTCTTATTCAGTCTAGTCTCTTCAGTCCAGCTTAGATTGGTCAGGCCTCTCAAGTTCAATTCAGTACCCTTTTACCCGCTCCTACTTCTTGCCTCCTGGTTAGAGTAGAACAAAAAAAGGGGAAGAGATGTACTGAATTTTTATCCTTATGTGCTCTTCTAACTCACTACCAATATAGTGCCGTAAATCTTTCAAGGGATTTTTCTTCCTGTTTTGGGTTACCTAACAAAAGCCAGCATAGCTACATTTAGAATAACACTTCTTGGGCAATCCCTGGCCGTCCAGTGGTTAGGACTCTGTGCTTCCATGGCAGGGGGCACGGGTTCAATCCCTGGTCGGGGAAAATCCTGCAAGCCTCACAGCCAAAAAAAACCTCAAAACAAACAAACAAACAAGAAAAACACTTCTTTTTGTGTGTGTTAACATGTAACATAAATTTTACCACTTTAACCATTTTAAAGTGTACAGTTCACTGGCATTAAGTAAATTTACATTGTTGTGCAACCATCACCACTCTGCATCTCCAGAACTCTTTCCTCTTCCTAAAATGAACACTTCTTGTCCTAACTTACTAGTAGGAGAGTAGGGTTATTGGGGTAGAGAGGAAATTAGAAAAAAATAGTATATTCTATGTGTTAGTCATGTCCCTGATAGAAAGAGAGTGTGAACAGGAGGATCTTGACCATGGTTAACAGTCTGCCACCAGACATCCTGAACAGACATGTGTAGAGAACAGCTCAGATAATGCACGCTTTTCTTTGCTATGGCATCATGTCTTTGATCCCATAGGTGTAACCCTTGGATCTGTTGCGCTGGGTTGAATCTCAGGTGATCTTACAGCGTATATTTAATCCCTATAGCCTCACGTCTCAAACTTGGCCATTCCTTGGGGCCATGAAAACTTTTCTCTACAGTTAAGAAGAGGCTCATGAAGATGAAGCCAAGAAAAAGAGTGATAAGGAAAAGGAAGGCGTTCTCTTAAAGGCACAGAGCAATTGGTTTCAGACATCTATCTACACACTCACTGCCTTGTTACTCTTGGGCCCCACTCTGAATTCTCCTTGGTCTTCTAGACAGGATAGATGGTGGGAGGATAAGACTCTAGGCCTTTTTACTATACCAGCTACATTGAAGGGAATAGGATCAAACAGCCCAAAGCAATAGGACATTTCAAGGGAAGGAAATCGCAAAGCTGAAAGAAAACTGAAAAGTCCAAAGGGAATGAAGAAATCAAAAAAGTCCTCCCCAAAGATTCTAAAATAATGATAATGATATAATAATAATAATTTACTATATGCTTATAAAAAAATCCTATGAGGAAGGTGCAATTTGTACCCCCATTTTTTTATTATTATTATTTTTTTTTTTTTGCAGTACGCGGGCCTCCTACTGCTGTGGCCTCTCCCGTTGCGGAGCACAGGCTCCGGACGCGCAGGCTCAGCGGCCATGGCTCACGGGCCCAGCCGCTCTGCAGCATGTGGGATCTTACCGGACCGGGGCACGAACCTGTGTCCCGTGCATTGGCAGGTGGATTCTTAACCACTGTGCCACCAGGGAAGTCCCTATTGGCCATTTTTATTTCTTCATTTGTGAATTATCTCAGTACTTTGCTCATTTATCTATTATCCACAATACGACTAGTTATTTTATTACAAAAGTAACTAAAAAGTAATGAAGACATTGTAAAATAGATTAGAACATTTGAATATTTATAGTGTTTTATAACATGCTGTTTAAATAACTCAATCCAATACATTGAGAATATCTTTCTATGTCAACCAGTGTATATCTAAGCCATCATTTTTTTTTTACTTTTTTTTTTTTTTTCGGTTCGCGGGCCTCTCACTTTTGTGGCCTCTCCCGTTGCGGAGCACAGGCTCCGGACGCGCAGGCTCA